GCCCTTAAAACCTGGTTGTTCCAACAGGCCTGGGGCTGATGAGTTCCCCACCGCCGCTCGAATTGTGTGGTTGTTGAGTGTTTTTTAAATTGTTGTTGTTGTTTGTCCGTTGTTTTTTCCCCCCTCCTGTTTGTATTCCCCCCACCCCTTACTTTGGTTTGTGAGCCGCCCTGAGTCCCTCTGGGAATAGGGTGGCATAGAAATGCAATAAATCAAATCAAATCAGATCAGGTAATAAAATACAAGATTAACTTTGATTCAGATAGCATAGAATAAAGCTATTGATTATCACTGATTGATAAATGGGCTGGGCATTTAAAGAGAGCGAGAGGGAGAGAGAGAAGCAAAATGCAGTTGGTTACATTCCAGTACAAATTGTCTAAACAGAGGATGTTTGAGTAGAACGTAATTTCTCTCCTAATCTTTTTTTTTTTTTCATTACCAGGAAATTACCAGGAAAGCAGCAACTGCAGATGCCGACGGAAGATACCCCATTTTCACGCAAATTGAGGCTGTTTTGCATCAGCCTGCAGAACTGGTTTCTGCTGTGGCTTAAGCAGGATGAACGAGCCAAAGAGAGATCTTCTTTTCTGCAAAAGTAGTGACGGTTGTCCTCCTTAAAGTCATTGAGAAGACTACATGCAAGCATTCTGAAGAAATGAAAGAAGTCGAGCTCTGGTCACGCAAGGAAGTGGCAGATTGGTTGTTGGAGAATGCGGTGCCCGAATACTGTGAACCGCTGAAGCATTTATCTGGGCGTGATTTGATCAACTTAACCAAGGCCGATTTTGAGAAGCCCCCCTTGTCGCGAGTGACTTCCGACAGCGGGCAGCAGCTCTTAGACATGATAGAGACTTTGAAAATAGAACACCACATCGAGGCGCACAAAAATGGGCACGCCAATGGCCACCTCAGCATCAGCACAGAAGCCCCGGCCAGCGAAAACGGCTTCAGCAAAGCCCCCAAGCCAAACGGGGTGCCGAACGGCTACAGGAAAGAAATGATAAAAATCTCCATGCCGGATCTGGAACGGTCTCAGTATCCTGTGGAGTGGGAGAAGACGTTTCTGGCTTTCCTTTATGCACTCTGCTGTTTCTTCCTGACCACGGTGACAATCTCACTTGTCCACGAACGAGTACCTCCCAAAGAGGAGGAGCCCCCCCTTCCAGATGCTTTCTTTGATTACTTTAACCGGGTTCAATGGGCCTTTTCTATCTGTGAAATTAACGGTTTGATCCTCGTAGGACTTTGGTTAGTTCAGTGGCTGCTTTTAAAATACAAGTAAGTAGACAAGTGGTTGTTGCTCCTGATTTTATTTTTTTATAGATGGTTGCTTTGAACTGTGATTTTTCTACTTAACGGTAAATGTGGGTCATAAAAGTATTGAAGTATATATGAAGGGAGGTGTGAGTAAAAATTAGAGCAACAACTGAATAAAATATGCTGCAGAATCATTATTTACACAATACAATGTGAACAATGCAATAATATTTATTTGATCAATGAATCAGCAAAATCTAGAAGAACAAAATTGGAGTGAAGGAAATGCATACAATGTCATATTAGCAACTAGCAAAATAAATCACTTATAACATTCACTCCTCTATCGAGACCCGTCAAAACTGCGCTCGACTAAAGCGCGTCGCTGATGTCATCAACAGGGCGACAACAGCCAGCGCGGAGAAAGAAGGGTGCTTTAAATAGTGCTTTGAAAGCAAGCTGATTCAACTTAAGGTAAGGGTTAGGTTTAGGGTTAGCTTTAGGGTTAGGTTTAGGATTTAGGTTTAGGGTTAGGTTTAGGGTTAGCTTAAGGGTTAGGATTAGGATTAGGTTTAGGGTTAGGGTTAGGGTTAGGTTAAGGGTTAGGATTAGGATTAGGATTAGGTTAAGGGTTAGGGTT